CAGTCTATCCCCGTGCCTATGACATTTGTAAGTTCACTGTTCTTGCTGCCATCTTTGGTAACATGTCCTGGGCTGAAATTCAGGCACAGGGATTTTGGTGGTCGAACAGGGTCCTGGTTGCCCGTTACCTCGTGAACGTTTCGGGGCCCAGTCGGGCCTGTGTCGCTTTGGGTTGGCGGTTGCAGCCAGTTGTCTCGACATTGAGTTGAGGAGTGAGCAGTGTCTCCGCCTCCGAGGTAAGTCCCTATTACAATTTTCCTATGTGGGTAGTTAGTTCCGGGGAGCCGAAGGGGCTTCCCCCAGAAAACCAGCGTTGAATGTAATGAAACACCATTTTCTGGGTGAGACCCGGAGGCTCCTCGGCATCCCTCCCTCCGGTCGGCGGTTTTTCATGTGTTTTGACATCTAGCCTCAGAACTGATGGGTGGATAGCCGGCATGGGGGGTCTAGGGCTCACCCTTCTCCCTCCTGGGGAGGGGGGAGCTGCGCAGACAGCGGCACGGCAATGTGTGATGTCATGCTCGTATGCTCGTTCTTTTAGGGGAGTTCTATCCACTTGTTCGGGTTTTGGTAGCAATACTTTCACCAGAATAGGGGTTTGTTTTGGGATGCTTACCTTTCTGGATGCCTGACCAGTTCGATGGCAGACAGAATGCTTCCAACCACACGGGGGTGTCTATAGGCCATTGCTCCCCATGCCTCTCTGAGGGGGCTAGGTTCTGGTTCGTGGTCCTGTGTGGAGGTGGACTGTGGAGGATGAGGCATGTACTAAATGAATTGAAGGGAAGTTCAAAGATTACTTCACACCAGGTCAGATGCTAGTGATTGATGAATCTCTTGTGCTTTTCAAAGGACATCTTGCCTTTGAGCAGTATATTCCATCCAAAATGCACAAATTTGAACTAAAAAAATTTATTCTGTGTGATTGTCAAACAGGAATGGTCATTGACATGAATTTATATTCCGGTAGTGATGTTGACATAAATAATGATCCTCATGGTTTGCTAGGAAATGTAGTGAGAATGCTGATGGTGCCAGTGTTGAGCAAGGGTCACATTTTATATGCAGACAATAACTATACCAGTCCCTTGCTAACTAGGCTCCTGCTGGAACATAGACCTTACCTTACCTTGAGGTTGAGAACTGGAATGTGTGGCACAGTAAAGCCACGAAGAAGGGAAAAGCAAGTGTATGATGAAAATATTAGTGTAGGTGATTTGCCAGATGCAAAAGTAGGAAAATATGCTTGCAGTGGAATGACAAATATGAAGTAAGTATTTTGACAACCGTTCACACTAGGCAAAGGAGAGGCAGTGGCAAGGTCACCAGAACAACAAAAGAGGCCATGTATAAACCAGATTGTATACATAACTATAACAAATACATATGCTTGGGTTGATAAGTGTGACACGATGGTTGGCGCTGTTGAGTGTGTACGAAGAACTGTGAAGTGGACAAAGAAAATATTTTTTCACCTTATTGATGTAACCATTTTGAACAATCATAATATGTATACGGTGAAATCAGGCAATAAACCATCCATGTGTATGTTCAGTCTTGCCATTTTTTACAAAATTATTAACTACATTCGGCAAAGACATTTAGGAATCATACCGAGGCATTCTCGCCCCAACATTGCCTCGTGCTGCTCCAGACAGACTGAAGGTCAAAGACAGGTTTTTGCAAGACAAAATAGAGTTCTTACTACATTCAGGAAACTGTGCAAAACATTTAACAACCAGGTATCCCCCCCCCCTGGAAATATTGCATCCGACATCATATAATTTATATTAGTTTCCACTATTGCCATTTACCTGAGGGCCACTGACACTAGTGGCCTCGACGAGGACAGGAAGCTGGTGGCTTGTTGAAGTTTCCCCCATTTGCCTTGATAATATTTTCCAGTTGAGTTTTGTAATTCAACAGTTTTTTGGCATTTTCAGCTTCAGCGGGTAGGCAGTTCCATGAGTTTATCACCCTGTGGGTGAAAAAGCATCTCCTGTTCTCAGTTCTACATTGTGGCTAGTTGAGCTTGAAACCTTTGCTCCTTGTATGTGTTACATCTGACCTTTCAACGAAATTGTCCAGATCAGCATCCTCCAAATTGTTCAGTATTGTAAAAGTTTCAATAAGAACTATCCTGTCATGCCTGGTTTGCAGTGTTGTTAGCCCTGTGGCCCTCAACCATTTCTGATAAGAGAGATGACTTAGCTCTGGAATGATTTTTGTTGCCTGGTGTTGCACTTTCTCCAGAGCAGCTATGTCCTTTTGAAGATGAGGTCTCCATGCTTGGATACAGTAATCCAAATGGGGGCACACCAGAGATTTATACAGTAGAATAATTTCTTTCTTTTAATTAAGTCAAAGATACGCTTGATTATTCCAAGGGGTTTGGTTAGCTTTTCTGGCTGCTGCTCCTACCTGTTGTGAAACTTTTATTGAGTGGTGCTGCCTCCTGCTTATCTGCCTGCCCACCTGCTTACCTGCCTGCCCACCTGCCTTCCCACCTGCTTACCTGCCTGCCCACCTACTTACCTGCCTACTAGAACACCCACCCTCCTGCCTACCTACCCACCCTCTTGCCTATCCACCCACCCTCTTGCCTACCTGAAGCCTGCCCACCTGCCTGTCTGCCTGCCTGCCTGCCTGCCCACCTGCCTGTCTGCCTGCCCACCCACCTGCCTGTCCATGCCTGCCTACCCACCTACCTGCCCACCCACCTTCTTTCCTTTCACCTGTCTGCCTGCCTGCCCTCCATGCCCACCTGCCAACCAGCCAGCCAGCCAGCCAGTTATCCATCCATTCATCAAGCCCATCTGTCTGCCCACCCACTTGCCCTGCCAATCTACCAGCCTGCTAACCAACCAGCTTAACTCACCAACCCAGCCAGCCACACACACTGCCTCCTTGACAAAGGGAGGGTAAATCTTGCCTTACAGGCTTGATAGAATTTTACGATCAGGTGACAAAGATTAAGCAAGAAAGAGAAGGATGGGCGGACTGCATTTTTTTGGACTGTCGGAAAGCATTTAACACAGTACCCCATAAAAGGCTGATGCATAAGCTGGAGAAACAGGCAGGAGTAACTGGTAGAGTGCTCCAGTAGATAAGGGAGTACCTAAGCAATAGGAAGCAGAGAGTTACAGTGAGGGGTGAGACCTCAGATTGGCGTGAAGTCACCAGTGGAGTTCCAGAAGGCTCTGTACTCGGACCTATCCTGTTTTTGATATATGTAAATGATCTCCCAGAGGGTATAGACTCATTCCTCTCAATGTTTGCTGACAACGCCAAAATTATGAAAAGGATTAAGACAGAGGAGGACAGCTTGAGGCTTCAAGAAGACCTGGACAAGCTGCAGGAATGGTCGAACAAATGGATGTTAGAGTTTAACCCAAGCAAATGTAATGTAATGAAGATAGGGGTAGGGAGCAGGAGACCAGATACAAGGTATCATTTGGGAGATGAAATACTTCAAGAGTCAGAGAGAGAGAGAAAGACCTGGGGGTTGATATCACACCAGACCTGTCCCCTGAAGCCCATATCAAGAGGATAACATCAGCGGCATATGCCAGGTTGGCTAACATAAGAACGGCCTTTAGAAACTTGTGTAAGGAATCTTTCAGATCATTATATACCACATATGTCAGACCAATCCTGGAGTATGCAGCTCCAGCATGGAGTCCATATCTGGTCAAGCATAAGACTAAACTGGAAAAGGTTCAAAGGTTTGCCACCAGACTAGTACCTGAGCTGAGAGGTATGAGCTATGAAGAGAGACTACGGGAATTAAACCTCACTTCGTTGGAAGACAGTAGAGATAGGGGGGACATGATCACCACATTCAAGGTTCTCAGGGGAATTGATAGGGTAGATAAAGACAGGCTATTTAACACAAGGTGCACACGCACTAGGGGACACAGGTGGAAGCTGAGTGCCCAATTGAGCCACAGAGATATTAGAAAGAACTTTTTTTTAGTGTCAGAGTGGTTGACAAATGGAATGCATTAGGAAGTGATGTGGTGGAGGCTGACTCCATACACAGTTTCAAGTGTAGATATGATAGAGCCCAATAGGCTCAGGAACCTGCACACCTGTTGATTGACGGTTGAGAGGTGGGACCAAAGAGCCAGAGCTCAACCCCCACAAGTACAATTAGGTGAGTACACTAATTATAGTGTGTGTGGAAATTCAAATTATGTTGGTTGTGGTACAAAAACTGTCTAATATGTTCACTTTTGGACTTATGTTCACTTTTGGACTTCCCTGGAAAGAATTCTGCTTATCCCCATGTCTGGCTTATCCGGCAGGGAAGGGGGGGGCTTTCCCATATAATTTGGATAAGTGAGCTCGTATATCAATAATAAACATTTCCACATGGTCTGCTCCTGCCAGACGGCATGGCTGGAGCAGACCGACCCAGATGTGTACTCTTTCTACGTCTGCATCTTGACAGACTTATTCCCCTTTTACAGCAAAAATGTCTCACATGATTTTTTTTATTATTTTCCCATAATCAGGAAATGCATTTTAACAATATTAGAAGGAAAACTTTTTTGTAATATTTAATAATTAATAGATGCGCAGCTCAGGAGTTAATAGCGATGCAGCAGAGTGGTTAAGTCCAGCCAGCCTGTGGTCTACCTTCTTTCCTATGATCTTTGTAAATTTGCATCTCTTGCAGTGGTCTTTGCTAATATAACCTGGGCTGATATTATGGTGCGGAGGTTTTGGCGGTCCAAACAGGGTCATGGCATCCCGGTATTTAGATAATATTTCCATGCTTCATTAAATCTGTGATCTAGATTTAAAAGTCCTGTGTTGCCCACGGTCATCTCTCTCGCCCTGTTGTTTTTTCTCCTTGAATACCTGTAGTCTTTTTTCTCACTGGTAAGTCCCTTGTCTTTCTTCTATGTGGTTAGTTAGCTCCAGAGAGCCACAAGGGGCTCCCCCCCCCAGGAAACCAGCCCCGGTGGCTCTCTGATTCCCTCTCTTCCTTCCAGGTTTGTCGGTTGGTGTGTGTATCCTTCACATCTGCTCCAGAACTGGCTTGGAAGGCTGGGGGAGACCTGGAGCTCCTGCTCCCCCCCTACTAGAGGGGGGTTAGTAATTACCTAAGTGCAGTTACAGGATGAGAGCTAAGCTTGTGGTGTCCTGTCTTCCCAGTACTGTACTCTTTGTCATGTGATGCTTTGAAACTATTGATGGTTTTGGCCTCCACCACCCCTCTCACTTAACTTGTTCCAATTATCTACCCCTCTGCTTGCAAAAAAAGAACTTTGTAATGTTTTTTCAGCAACTTTGTTTCCTTAGTTTGAACCTATGTCCTCTTGTTTTTGAAACTGCAGTTTTCAAAAAATATTTTGTAAATATTGTCGATTCCTGTTCCTATTTTGTATGTAGTGATCACATCACCTCTTTTCTTGTATCTTCTAGTTTTGATATATTTAACACCTCTAACCTTTCATCGTAGCTGTTGTTTTTCAGTTCCAAAAGCCATTTAGTTGCATGGCTTTGCACCTTATTCAGTTTTTTGCATATTTACATTTTGGTCTCACAAAAGTTGCGAACAATTTCTTTTAATATTTCTTCATCCATGTATTTAACTCTTCAAATGCACATGTCAAACAGGGTTGATTGCACCATGTCTGACCCCTACTGTGCAAGTCTATGAAGGATGATTTAAAGTACCATGTAAGAATTAAAAGTCCTGCATATACACAGGGCTCACATTTGCTTCCTCTGGCCTCCAGTAAACGGATGCCACCATGGAAATATTTTTTAGGCACCCCCTCTTGGGTGTGAGACCCCTCATTATTGAGAGGGTGACCATTGGTAGCATACACAGCAACAGCTCAAAGCATCGCCATTCAGCTTGTGCCCGCAGCATCATTAATAATGAAGAAATAAATACAATTATTTTGCAATGATAGTGCCTTAGAAGAACCTGACAGTGATAAAGACTATGTACTAGGCTCAGATATTAGTGAGCACAATGCTGTTATGATGATATAATGCAAGAAAGACATACACAGTGCACAGCCGCAGTTTCATGCATCCACACATCATGAAATTGGACCTCATATTTCTTTAACAAATTAGCATGTGTAAAATTATTCATGTTCATGATTTAGTGCCACGAATCTGATAATAACAACAGTGTTGTACCTTGGGTTAGCAATGTGCTTAGTATATTGGAGGCATTTTGCTGCGTCAGGTGGTGTCATCTGCTGGCATCGTCTGCTGGTCGCTTGTGGTGCTATACTGTGCTTGGATTTCCTTACCACACCCACCAGAATTGCTTATTGGTTTATTATGATGCCACAAAATGTAGATAGCTACAGTATATAAAATGAATGTATATAGTGCAATTATAACTAAAACTGTGTTTTATTGTTCAAAGAATATAAATTGGTGTACATACTAGTATTAGTGACACGAATATATCTGTGTGTACCTATGATCTACATGTTCTGCTTTACAAATAACATTACTGACAGCTTATTGCATCATCGCATTTGAAAACACCTTTGCAAAACATAAGCATAAAGAAAATATTATTCGTTTCTGCCCGAAACGCTGCGCGTGCTAGTGGCTTTACAAGACTGTAATTACCATATTTGTATCCTCACATTCCTTATGTACATTCTTGTATATGCATAAATAAATAAATAAATAAATAAATAAATAAATAAATAAATAAATTATGTATTCCCTAATTGCATTTACAATTTTGCACAAAAACTGCAGAGCTAGGCTGAACTTTGATAACACTAGTCAAAATTTTTTCAAAAGTTGTTTGCTTCAGAGATGAAAAGAACTGTTTATCTTGCATTTTGATGTGCTGAATTCAAATATAATAACTAACATTGCTGATTAGCTGTTCTTTTATGTGTAAGGCTTGTAACAAAATCTTGCTCGATTCAACAAGTGGTGGATGTTGAACACTTTTCACCCAGGCTCCAGTAATTACCCGAGTGTAATTACCTAAGTGTAGTTACAGGATGAGAGCTACGTTCGTGGTGTCCCGTCTTCCCAGCACTCTTTGTCACATAACGACCTCACCTAACTTGTTCCAAATATCTACCACTCTGCTTGCAAAAGTGAATTTTCTTATATTTCTTCAGCAGCTTTGTTTAGTTAGCTGAAATCTATGACCTCTTGTTCTTGAAGTTCCAGGTCTTGGGAATTCTTCCCTGTCAATTTTGCTGATTCTCATTACTACTTTGTAAGCAGGGATCGTATTGCCTTTTTTCTCTCCTAGTTTTGGCATATTTAATGCTTCTATCCACGCCTCATATCTCTTGTCATTCAGTTCCGGGTATCATTAAGTTGCATTTCTCTGCACAGATGGGGTATACACAGACTTTACACAAGCTTGATAATGGTCCTGGATGGTGCTAGGTAGCACACAGAGAAGGTAACTCTGAGCACATGCAGCTCCAAGCACCCTACGAACTAAGTCTAAACAACACAAACTGGACAGAAAATATGCATTCCTGATGGGATGATGAAGTGGCACCTGCTCTCTGTGTCTCTGTGAGGGGAACCAGGTTCTGGCTCTGGTCCTTGATAGGCCAAATAGAGCTCTATGACTCATGTGACCTAGTAGTGGGAGGCATCTCATTGAGAGAGCTTCTGGAATCCACAAGGGGCTCTCTCAGAAATCCATGGATTGAATGTAATAAAATGCCTCTTTCTGGTAGAGCCCCTGTGTTCCCTAAAGCTATCTCATAGAGTTTGCTCCACCTAAAGGATCACATGAGCCACAGGGGTTCTATTTGGCCTACCTATAATACCAGACCATGTGGAAGGCCAGACCGGAAGTGAAATTGTTCAAACGGGAAAGACGCATCACAGGTCCGCCGAGTTCCCTCTTCAGGACAAGGAACAATTGCGATACCCACCAAAGGGACTAGGCCATCTCAATCATGCATGGTCCAACCAAGCTGCAATGCCCTATTGGAGAGTTGGGAAGGAACCCTGATCCAAAAGCCCCAGCCCAAAGAGGGGGGTGGGACAGACTAACCCCACACAGGATGAGAGATGACCAGAAAAGCCAGCTTATCGTGAGACTAGGAGCTGGTAAAATTACCCAGATGACCCCCACCTACTGTGGAACGAAAAAGGGGGAACCTTGAAGTGGCTGATGCAAACCATGAGCAGAGCCATGTTTCTGCAATATGTAGTTGCAATGTTAAGCAGAAAACAAACTCACAGCAGGAAATGCAATGGTCCAGAAATTGAACTGTCCTGAAAACTTACCTTGCTTAAAAGCAGGTGAGGCTGTAACCCAACCAGATCATCCCCAATGACCATGGGTAGAACCCATGGATACACAACAACTGGTTGTAGCCTCCTCAGGAAAGAGAAGTGAAGAAAAAGGGGAGGCAGACAAACCGGGAAGGGACCAAACCGAATCTAAAGACTAGGCCAATTCAGTCTGTTGACATGTGAGGCAAGACAGCTAAAATGCCACCACTGTTTCCTGAAGAAGAGGAGCAAGCATCTTGAGCAAGGACACCAAAGGTGAATCTGCAGACCCTAAGTTCTCGACACCTGAGGCCAACCTAAACAAAGCCACATTCTCATGGAGTTGCACAGAGAACCCCTCCACATAAATACAAATATGCAAAACTGCCGCTAAGTGCATACTCACCCGGTGGTCATCCACAATACCTGCTCTCCAAACAGCATGTGCTCTCCCCAGAGCACATGCAGCTGACAATTGCATCCTTTGGGATGCAATTGTCCTTTGCACCAGAGGAACCACTCGGTGCCTGATTAGAGCATAAGAAGCACTGCCTAGGAACACATGAAAGACAGAATTCACTTCTGCCAATAAATAGTATCAGTCAGACAGATCCCCCTGCCAAGCCCCCAAGTAAAAGAGAGGAGGTTATCAGTTAGCCAGGATGAACCTAAAACTCACACTGCAGCTAATAAGCCAAGACAGATCCACTCTGGAAAGAGGCTGGGTCCATCAATGAAAAGTGGTATGAATTCTGCAGGAGATATTGAAACAGTTCCACACAAGACACTGAAAATGAAATGCAGGAAGATGGTAACCTCCAGAAATACAATAACTCTAAGGCACCAAACAGAACCCAGAATCAAACCCAAGGGAGAGCAGCCAAATTCATATGTTTATTTTGGTCATCATCCTCACACAAATAGATGACCTCAGTAACTTTCAAGCTCTGCCAAATTATGAACATTGATGCACCACTGTGAGTGATGTTAAGTGATGTGATGTTTCAAAATTACCACTCGTACAGTCATCCTAAGGAAAACCTTCATGCCAACTGTACATATCGCAAAGAAGAAGAAAAAAGAATCATACTAATATTGTCTAAGCTCGCTTATCTGGACTATATGGAAAGGACCCCCCCCCCTCCCACTCACCATTTAAGCCAGACATCCATATAAGTAGAATTCTTACAGGGAAAGTCCAAAAATTACCATTTTAAAAATTTGTTGTACCACAACCAACATACTGATAATTTTAATTTCCACACTCACACACACACTATAAATAAAAAATATAATTTCAAAGAGAAACTAAAGCTTACCTTGTGGTAGTTTGTCTTCTTGTTTGATACTACAGATCTTGAGATGTGTGCTTCTTGAAAATTTACGTAACCTAATCTCTGGTTATCCAGATTTCTGTCCAGATATGGTTAAATTTTGCTAGAAAATTATCCTGATTTGACATAGACTCTGTGCTAGTGTGCTTTATCTTTCCAAATCTCCGGTTATCCATATTTCTGCCCGGATATGGAGAAGTTTGCCAGAAAATTATCCAGATGCTATTTTGGATGAATAACCCAAATAAAGTATAGTACAGTATTTGGCTTAGCAGAATTCAAATAAGTGAGTACATGTAGTACATAGAAGGAGGCTATGAAAAATTCTACTCCTGAAGCAAAATAAATAAATAAATAAATAAATAAATAAATAAATAAATAAATAAATGTTTATTTAGGTAAGGTACATACATACAAGAAATTTTACAAAGATTGGTGGACTTATAGATAGAGCTAGTACATACAATGCCTAAAGCCACTATTACGCAAAGCGTTTCGGGCATGAAAAACTTAAA